TCCAAGGAGCCACCCGGTTTAACCCTTTCCAGGACAAATCTGTTTGTTTTCCTAGCAGTCCATGGTATTCTCAATACTCTTCTCCAGCACCACAAACAACAACACAATTTTAGCATTTTGTAGCAGAAATTTATTTACACTGGGCAAATAAGAAGAAAAATAAAGAAAAAAATTCTTTCAGTCCACTTTGTAAGACCACTAAGTAAGAATGATTAGTTATTCATGAACAATTATAAACTATTCATCTTGTTTCTAACACCTATTTCTTTTCTTGGCCTGTCTTCCTTTCATATTCTCTCTCATTTTCTCAGCTCTATCATTCAGTTATCAATGTTCTATTCAGCTTTTTCTGTTGTTGTTGTTGTTCTCTTTAGCTTTGTGACTAAGTTATTGACTAAACAATTGAGGTCCTTTTATATTTAAGTAAATACATTCTTTAAGGATACTTTGGGTATAATGTTAAATGATCCAGGAAGCATTAAAAGAAGATGGAAGGAGTACATGGAGTCACTGTATCGGAAGGAATAGGCTGAAAAAGAAGAATATCATGAAATAACATATAAGCAAGAGCGTGCAGTGATGAAAGAGGAAGTTCAGGTTGCTCTGAAAGAATTGGCAAAAAATAAGGCCCCAGCAGTTGATGGCATACCAATTGACATATTTCAACAAACATATGCTGCCCTGGATGTGCTCACTAAGTTGTGCCAAGAAATCTGGAAGACAGCCAGCTGGCCAACTGACTGGAAAAGATTTGTTCCCATTCCAAAGAAAGGTGACCCAACAGATTGCGGAAATTATTGAACAATATCATTAATATCAGATGTAAGCAAGATTCTACTGAAAATTATCCAAAAACGTTTGGAACAATATGTCAACAGAGAACTGCCAAATGTGCAGGCTGGATTTAGAAGAGGTCGTAGTATTATGGATATTATAGCTAATGTTAGAGGGATCTTGGCAGAATGCAGAGAATACCAGAGGAATGTCTATCTGTGCTTCATTTACTATGCAAAGGCTTTTGACTGTGTGGATAACAACAAACTGTGGCTGACTCTAAGAAGAATGGGAATCCCAGAATATTTGATTGTGCTAATGCAAAACCTATACCTGGACCAAGAAGCAGTCATCAGAACAGATCAAGGAGACATTACATGGTTTAAAATCAAGAAGGGGGTCCGTCAGGGATATATTTTGTCTCCATATCTTTTCAATCTGTATTCAGAACAGATCATCTGAAACGCTAGACTGTACGAGGAGGAATGTGGCATCAAGATTGGTGGAAGAGCCATCAACAACCTGTGTTATGCAGAGGACACAACTGTGCTTGCTGAAACTGAGAACGACCGGAAGCACTTGCTGCAGAAGGTCAAGGACTGCAGCCTTCAATACAGATTGAAGCTCAACATCAAGAAAACAGAGATTCTCACCACTGGGCCAACTGGCAGCATCAGTATGGAGACAATGAAGAGATTGAGATTGTTGACAATTTTAGTTTACTTGGCTCCACAGTCAAGACTCTTGGTACCAGAAGCCAGGAAATCAAGAGACAAATTGCATTGAGAAAGTCATCTGTGAGGGACCTCTCCAGAGTACTGAAGAGCAACGACGTCAGGCTGGAGACTAAGGTGCGCCTGATCCAGGCCATAGTCTTTGCAGTTACGTGCTATGCATCGGAGAGTTGGACAGTGAATAGGGTTGCTAGAAAGATAATTTATGCCTTTAAGCTGTGGTGCGGGAGAAGAGTATTAAAGATACCATGGACTGCGAGGAGAACAGGTTAGTCCTGGAGAGGGTGAAGCCATGCTGCCCCTTGGAGTCAAGGATTCTGAAGCTTCATCTGACATACTTTGGGCATGTTTCAAGGAGGGACTGGTCCTTGGAGAGGGCCATCATGCTTGGGAGAGTAGAGGGATGGTGCAGGAGAGGAAAACCCTCGATGAGATAGATCGATTCTGTGATTGGGGTGGTGGGAATGAGTGTGTCGGAGACAGCAAGGTTGGCACAGGATAGTGTAGCGTTTAGGGATCTTGTACATAGTTGTCACTATAAGTCACAAGTGACTCAATGGCACATAACAATATTCTTATTTTCTACAAGATTACTCACTTCTCTTTAAATCTGAATTTCTTTTACAATGGTTTTGTTGTTCTCCTTTTCACATGTATACTTAAAAAAACCCTTTTTCTTGTGCTTTGAGTGAAAGTTTATACATTTAAAGCATTTTAGTCACATTAAACAAAACCTTCTTTAACAATATCAATTTATTCTAAGCAGTATGATAAAATTTTGGCCAAGGATTTGCCATTTTCAAGGATAAGACTGAGGTCAGGCCTCATCACTGACATGGGGACACAGGAACAAAATGGTCACCTGCATCATTTTACCTGTCATCCCCTACCCCAGCTTTCACAGTCCTTGATTTAGTCTAGGGAGCTTCAAGGAGTTTATTCTGAACTATGGTGGCCTCAAGGGGCCTGCTCTAGCCTGTGATAAGAACCGGTCTTTGGACAACCAGTGTGTGATCTATATAGTGCCCAGATTCCAGTGAAGGTCCGGAAGTCCAAGGGTCACTGGCACAGGCTAATTCGAGGTTCCAGAGCAGCCAAGCACTGTAATAGCTAAGGTGAGAACAGGCACCTGGGAAACCAATGACCAAGGACATTTATGCAAATTGTCCTGTTGAAACAGGCTAACCTAAAAAGTTGGCAGTAGAATCCAGCTGCTCTGGCATAGAGATGTGGTGGCTTGCTTCCACAAAGATTTCTCTTAAGGCAGTTCTACTCTGTCCTAACAAGCCACTATGAATTGAATTACATTTGAGAGCAACAAATTTTGTTTTCCCATTAATTCTGCATGCTAGTATTTTTCCTATTTAAGGACTAACTGTAACTTTGATGAAATTCACAAAGAAGCTAAAAATCAGAGTTTACTTACCTAGAAGTAAAAAATTATTCATGTAGTCAAAAAGGACTCCACCAATGATAGAGCCACCCAAAAATCCACAGGCACGTCCCACGAATATCAGAGAAAGCCCGCTGATGTTGCTTTTCACATTTGCAGCCAAGTCTGGAAAGGTGGGTCCTAGTATGCCAACACTCATTCCCTAGGATTTGTAAAGGAAAAAAGTGTCATTAAAACACTGTCAGTGTGGTAATTCTTGTAGTGCCATATGAAAAGGGCTAAAGGGAACGGATTAAGTCCCACTGTTGGAGGGAAAAACTCTCCTGATAATACTAGTATTATTAAATCTACAAATGCTTACTTCTGATGTTCCAAATCTCATTGCTTTCTGATTTTGACAACTTTTAAACTTTAGACGGAAATCTTTAGATATCTTGCTACAATTGTATCCTTTTCCATCAATACTCTAAAAAACTATTTAGAATTGAGAATAGTTACAGCTTGCTCAGCTCCACAATCAACACTTTTGGCACCAGCAATCAGGAAATCCAAAGACAAATTGCATTGGGTAAATCTGCCATCAGGGACCTCTCCAGAGTACTGAAAAAATCAACGATGTCAGTCTTGAGACTAAGGTGTGCCTGGTCTTCACAATTACTTACTATGCATCAGAGAACTGGATAATAACTAAAGATGACAGAAGAAGAATCAGTGCATTTGAGTTGAGATTATGGAAAAGAGTCTTGATCATACCATGGATCACCAAGAAAACAAATAGGTCTGTCTTGGAGAGCGTGAAACCCAGTTTCTCCTTGGAGGCTAGGATTTTGAAGCTCTGTCTCATATATTTTGGGTATGTGGCCAGGAGGGATTGGTCCTTGAAAAAGGACATCATGCTCAGATGGGTGGAGGGACAGATGGACTGATACAGTAACTAGGGCAATGGGGGTAGGTGTTTTGGAGTTTGTAAGACTGGCTCAAGACAGGACAGGCTTCAGAGCTGTTGTACATAGTATTGCTATGAATTGCCACACAATTGACAGCACACAACAACAACAATTGTTGTTATGTATCATAACTAAGTCAAAACCAATCATAGCTAACCCTCCAGGAGGTTTCTGAGGCTTTGGGTCACACAGCAGGAGACAGTCCCTCGTTTACCCACCCACGTGGTAGTTTCCAACTGCCTCCCTTTGGATTGACATCTCAACTCCTTACCCACAAGGAGAAGAGCTCTCCTAATAAGAGACAACACTAAGACAATTTTAAAATAGTTTTGTATATTTTTGAAATCTACCACATATGCAAATAGTTAAAATAGAAATTCAAATATCAAAAGTGAAATTATCACACTATAAATATTATGCCCTTTTTATGTTAAAATAGAAAATATTTCTGTGTAGATCCAGGCATATAAAACTGAGAGTTATTCATATAAAACCTCTAAGTGGTGAATAAATTAAACTTTATAAATCTTAATTTTTCCTACAAGAAGACCCAAACCATATCTGTAAGGTTTTCTTAGAAACTATTACCTAATATGTACACTGAATTACTATTATTATATATAATTTTTAACATTTTATGGTGATTTGAGTTTATAGTGTAAACAGGTTTTCCACTCAACAATTAAATCCTTTTCAGAACACTGATTCTCACATTGTAACAGCACTCTTCCCACTTCCTGCTTGTGTTTCCTCTTTCCTTTTATCCTTCTTTCTTATTCTGTTCTTTTTAGTTTGATTCCTGGGCAAATATTACAATTTTGGTCTTGTATGGGTGATAGTTCTGAGGAGTTTTTCCTCCTTGATGTTCCTGATGACTTTAAGTGCAGGTCTACTGTTTTGAGTTATGGGGCTGCTTTTCAGTTCCAGGATTGCCTAAGGGCCACAGTCCTTGCAACTATTCCCCAGTCTCTATCAGACCACTCCTTGCACTGTGATCTCTTTCTCAAGAGCCAACAGTGGTAGCAGAAAACCATCTGGTTCTTGTCTCAGTATCACATATGAACTGAAATTCACATGGCTCATTAGTCCTAGGTACCAAAATAACATTTCCCCCCCCCCCTATTTTCTTTGCTCTGAAGAGGGAGAGGCCAACAGTTGCATCTTAGATGACCACGCTGAAGGTTTTACTCACCAAAGTAGGCTGTATACCTTCACCTTTGTGAATCAGAATAATTCCAATGATCTTCTTGTTTGTTGTTGAATGCAAGCACAGCCAATTTAGACTGAAACTGATCCTCAAACCACAGCAGTTCCTAGGGCTTACCAGGTCCTTTCTCATAGGCAAAGCATGAGTGGAATCATAAGTTGAATGGCTAACCATGGCTTTCATTCACCTAGTCCACTGTTGTTGTTGTTAGTCTTCTAAACTTTCTGCAAGCAATATTGTGTCATCTACAAAATATAGGGGATTTGTGTTGTTTTGGTTTTTTTTAAAAAAAACATGTGTTGTTAACAATTCTTCCTCCAATCTTGAGCCACACTCCTCTTCATATAGTCCAGCTTCTCTAATTGTTTGCTCAGCTGAAGACAAGCTGAATAGGTATGGAAAAGAGGGTACAACTTTGACACACACTTTTCCTCATTTTAAACCATGCAGTGTTTCCTTGTGCTGTTCAAACCACCACTTCTTGGTCTATGAACAGGTTTCCTATAAGTATCATTACCAATTCTTCTCAATGTTATTCATAACTTGTTACAATCCACATAGTCAAATACATTTGCATCATCAATAAAACACAAATAAACACCTTTCTGGTAGTCTCTGCTTTCAACCAAGATCCATCTGACATCAGCAGTGACTTTTCTTTCTCTATGGCTCTTTTAAATCCAGCTTAAATTTCTGGCAGTTCTCTGTTGATGCTCTGTTCTAGGCATTTCTAATATTCTTCAACAAGGTTTACTTGCATGCGTTATTAATTATATTGTTGATAATTTCTACAGTGTGTTGGATCACTTTTTTGAAATTAGAACAAATAAGGATCTTTGTTGACCAATTTTCTCAAACATGTTGGCATCCATTAGTCATGCTCAGGACTAGATCAGTGTGCTGAAACTGCCCTTGGCATTAGAGCAATTCCTGGCATCACATTTTTGGCCAATGACTTTGATCAATGGTCTTTTATCATATGCTACTCACTGAAATGATTAAGTATCATCCAATTCTTTGTCACAGTGACAGTGTATTCCTTCCATCTTCTTTTGATGCTCCTTTTATCATCCGTCATTTTTCTCCCACAGAATCCTTCAGCATTGGAACTGGAGGCTTGAATTTTTCCTTTAGTTCTTCCAGCTATAGAAATCAGTGCTTGTTCTTCATTTTTGGTTTTCTAATTCCAAATCTTTTCACTTATCTAGACAATTTAGGTGGAAATTCCAAGAAAGACACTTTGTTTAATAATGGGTGGCTATGTGTGTGTGTGTGTACTGTATCTGGCAGCCCTGGTGACAGTGGCTATTAATCTGAACAATCACTCATATCATTCAATCCCTTGAAAAAGGGAGTATGCTGAAACTGTAAAAGCTTGTTGTTGTGCCTTCAAGTCAGAACAGACTCATAGCTGACCCTCCAGCGCATTTTCAGAGGCAGTTAATCGCCTGGGAGGAGACTCAGAACAGCTGGTGGATTTGAACCACGTGCCTCTAGGATTTCAGCGCAGTCTTAACTATTAGCCTAGTTGAACTCCCTGGAAAACCTCTAGGAAAATCAATTGTGTACTTGACTACAACCCTCCAAGATTAGACCTGTGCCCTTTTTCCAGATGATGAAACTGACGCTTAGGCAGATTAAGTAATGTGCCTAAAGTCAAACCATTTGCAAATGATGGAATGGAGACTGGAACCCCAAACTCGAGTTCTCTGCAGGAAGCCCACTCACACCCGGACCTTGGAGGCTCCCAGCCTCAGCTCTCACCATCCCCAGGAAGGCAGCACACAGAATCGAGGTCGTGAACCATCGCAGGATGTTCCCAGTGCTGTCACTACACCGGGAGACTGTCACTGTCCTCGCCTTATTCTCTGCTGGGGCTTCAGCCTGGAGGAGCCGCTGCCCGACGGCCGGGGCCGGGGCCGGGGCCCAGGCCTCAGGGAGTTCTAGCTCCAGCTCCAGCTCGGCGGTTCTAGAGAAGCAGTACCTCCGAAGTCCAAGATTCTCCGCAGAGTTTTAGGAGCTGCTGTGAGTCAAGAGCAGAGCCCCGGCCCCGCCCCTCCGGAGAGCTAGGCCCCGCCCCCATGGGCATTCCCCGCCCCTCCGGGGGAGAAAGGCCTCCTCCTAGGGGAAGAGTAGCCCCACCCCTCCGGGCAGCCCGGCCCCGCCCCTCCAAGACCTGGAGCTCAAACTTTGGAACGCGCCAGGTATTACCCTAGGCTGCTCCGCATCTTCCTGTTCGTGCATGCACGAATCACATGGCTGAAACCTGGCTATTCGCCAAGCATGTGCGAGCCTCAATATGGAAGTTAATGTGGTTTCCTAGAACACCGGACATCGTTCTTCCTCTTTAGTAGAACCACAGATGGCTGGGCACGAAGAGTCAAGCCCACTCTTGATAGCTGACCAAGTTGATGCTGCAGTTTAGAGTCAGACAAGTCATGAGGTAAGAAACAGCGATTTTAAAAAAAAAGGGCAGCAGCAGCAGTCAAACCGTTATGTGTAAATGTAGGCCAAGAATTGCAACATCGGAGCTCACTTCCCGGTACGCTTAGCAGGAGACTCACAGATTCTGTGACTGGTTCTACCAGGTCACAAGTACTTGTTGAACCTCATGTTTATTATCTCACTTAGGGAGCTCTGGCAGCCTCGTGGTAAGGAGTTGCTCTGGAAACCAAAAGATACACGGTTCAAATCCACCAGCTGCTTTTTGAGAGACACATAATCAATCTCCTCTCCTGTGATTAACTGCCTCTGAAAACCTGCTGGAGGATTAGCTATTATTTTAATCAATCCTCTCAACAATATTGTTAGGGTTGCTGTGAGCCGTGCTCGACTCAAAAGCAAATAACAACAATCAACAACATGCATCAGGTTTTCAGAGGCAGTAAATGGTATGAGAGGATATGGCCTATCTTTCACCTGTGGAGCAGCTGGTGAATTTGAACTCCATATGCATATCTTTGTGTTGGCAGCACAATTCCTTACCACTAAGCCACCAGAGTACTAGATGGTCTGTTCCACAGTCAGCAAATGGCTTGGTTTTACCTGTTGATAATGAGCTTTTCCGAAGATTCTGTTCACAGATGTAGTCAATCTGATTCCTGTGTAGTCCATCAGGTGAGGTCTATATGGATAGTCCCTGTGTTTCTTTAAACATGTTGTTGTTGTGTACCATAGAGTTAGAACCAACCGACCTATAGCTGACCTTCCAGCGGGTTTTCAGAGGTAGTTAATTGCACGTGAGGAGATTGCCCATCCTTCTCCCACAGAACAGGTGGTGGATTTGAACCATGTGCCTTCGGATTGCAGTGCAGCTTCTTGCCACTAGGGCTAATTAATCATTGAACATACAAAATTCAGTCATTTGTTATCCAGACTCATTTCTGTCATGAAGTCCATAATTTCAAAATACCATTCTTTCTTCTTTGTTTCCAACTTTTGCATTTTGACTGCATATTTGGTCAATTTCAGACTGGAAAAGTCAGTAGAAATCCTCAATTTCCTCCTCTTTGCCTTTAGCTGTTGGTGCATCTATTTGAATAACAGTTGTAGTAACAAGTCTTCCTTGTATATGTATGGACAGTGTCCTATTGCTCACAGTATTATACTTCAGGACTGTTGTTGTTGTGCACTGTAGAGTTGGAAGTGACCCACAGCTGACCCTCCAGCCCGTTAATAACACGGGAGGAAACTGCCCATCCTTCCCTCGCAGAGCAGCTGGTGGCCTGCAGGACTGCAGCACAGCGTCCTGCCACTAGGCCACCAGGTCTTAACTATGAATGCAAAAACATTCTTCCTCAATTTTTCATTCCTGGAAAAGTAAATAATAAGATTATCTGATTCACAATAGTCAATTCCAGTCCATCTCAGTTTGTTAATGCCTACAAGATCAACATTTATGCATTCAGGTCATTTTTTACTATGTTCCCCATTCCAATTATTAATAATGGATGTTTTCAGGTTTTCCCCCTCATTTTGAGTGTCTTCCATTCTGACAGCTTCTACTTCTATATCTGTCTAACTCTCCTCTATTATTCGTTAAGACCTATTGTTTCAGAGGTAGATTGCCAATTCTTCTTCCTAGTCTTTCTTAATCTAGGAACTCTGCTTCAATACAACATCTGAAAGACAAGGGCTGTACCTATGAGAATAGACACTAATCAAGCATGTGGCTGGCAGGGGTTCCTCAGTGAGATGGCAGAACAAGGTCCAGAAGAGGGTGAGGCTGGAAGCTGTTGGTCTCGGTCTCTCCGTGTGAGGTAGTGGTATGACTGATGCTAAGAAAAGGGGATTCCAGAACACTCAATTGTGCCACTATGAAACCTATACTAAGACCAAAAAGCTGTTATTTGAACAGTACAAGATAACATTATGTGGTTTAAAATCAAGGAAGGAGTGTGTTAGTGATGTACCTTTCTCCATACCTATTCAATCTGAATGCTGAGCAAATAATTTGAGAAGCTGGACTCTATGAAGAAGAATGTGGCATCAGGCTCAGACTCATCAACAACCTGGGTTATGCAGACTACACAACTTTGCTTGCTTAAAGTGAAGACTTGAAACATTGGCTGCAGAAAAGATTACATCTTGACATAAAAAAAGATGAGCTAATCTCACTGTCACTGATAGACCTGCCCCGATTACCCCAGTCACTGTGTCAATCCATCTCATCTGGTGTCTTCCTATCATGCATTGTTCCTTCCACCTTCCCAATCATGATGTCCTTCTCCAAGGACTGGTCCCTCCTGGCAAGATGCCCAAAGTATGTGAGATGGAGCTTCAAAATCTTGCCGCCAGAGAGCAACTTGGTTTCACTATCGGTTAATCGCTATTCCAACTTTTATTGTTAGGTGAAGTTGAGTCAAATGACCTGGAACAACACTGGAACCTTGCTCTATCTTATGCCATCATCATGATCCCTGCCTAGGTCAAGCTAATTGTTGCAGTCACTATTTCAATGCATCTCATTGAGGGTCTTACTCCTTCTCACTAACCTTCTACCTTGCGAAGCATGTCTTTTTGGTCTGCCGGCTCTAAAAGGACAAACTTAGTGTGTTCTGATTACCAACAGGTATTGTTCATAGGGTCACTAAGAGTCTCAACTTGACAACACCTAAGATTGGATCATACCATCTGGAGAAGGATGCCATGCATAGAGAGATGGAGAGTCAGTGAAAAAAAGAGGAAGACCCTCAGGCAGAGAGACTGACACAGTGACTGCTGCAATGGATTGAAGTATGTTAGAAATGATGATGATGGCTCCGGATAGGAAAAGGTTCAGATCTGTTGTTCAGAGTATCTTCATGAGCTGTACTCAACTCAATGACACCTAACAACAAACAACAGTATCTATTAAAGAATCAAAGTTATGTATGATGCTTGGAAATAATATCATAGATCTGATTTCCAAATTATATTTTACACTGATAGTTCCTATGCCCAGAAGTAGGGAAGACCAAATAAGAATCAATACCCTTGAATTGCAGTGTTTTCAGAGTACTGAATATCCCACGAACTGCCAAAAGAACAAATATGCCTTTGAGGGAAATGCAAATAGGGTGCTCCTTAGAGGCAAGGCTGGTGAAATTTATCTCTCATACTTTGGGCATGTTTTCAGGAGGGGCCAGCTATGGGGGGGGGGAAGCATTATGATGGGAAAGATAAGAGGTTCAGCAAAAGAGAGGAAGATCCTCCAGGGTATAGACTGATAAGAGTAGTTACAACAATAGGCTTGAGTATGGTAGAAATGAGAAGGTGGCTCAGGACAGGGTGGCTATGAGTTAAAATGAATTTGACAGCATTTCACAACCACATCACATACACACTTAATGACATGCAGCTCTAAAATACTCTCCAGAGGTACCTAACGCTACAAATGTAATCATCTTAGCCGTACATTCTACATCCTTAGTTTCAAAAATTCCATGCTTCCAAGAGTCTGGAGCCATTGCAAAGGACCTGATCCTGATACAACTGTAAAAAACAATGGGGAAGAATTCACAGTATCAACAAGCACAAAATTAATTCCCATGAGGTCAGAAATGTCACCATGCTTCTGTCAATACTTCTATTGTTTTTAATTCTTCCTCCCATTCCCAACCTTGGGCTCTCACTTGCTGTCTGATGCTTGGTCTACTGAACAGTTGCAATGGCCACACAGAACTCACAAATAAAATAATTATGGGGTTTATTAAGCAAGTTAACAGGTTACAATTGTGGTAGAAACAGTATATAATTCTTCAGTTGGAAGACCTTCTCTGGTGTCCTTGCAGGCCCTTTGACATTCAGCCTCAGGTCTTCAGGTCATTGTTACAAAGCCCTCTTAATCCTGCCTATTATGGTGTCTCCTCTCTAGCCTTCCAGCATCCCTAGATAAAAGCCTTTGGCAGGAACTCTGGCTCGGGGGTGGGGGGGGTGGGGGGGGTGGCAGTCCCATTTCAGTTGTCTCATATTGCTCTCTCGTTCTCAGGTCTTCAGGTCATTGTTACAAAGCCCTCTTAATCCTGCCTATTATGGTGTCTCCTCTCTAGCCTTCCAGCATCCCTAGATAAAAGCCTTTGGCAGGAACTCTGGCTCGGGGGGGGGGGGGGTGGCAGTCCCATTTCAGTTGTCTCATATTGCTCTCTCGTTCTCTGCTGTAGTTGCTGCTGCTCTCATCTAGGTCTAAGTCTTGCTCTGACTTGTGCTGGAATCTTGAGTCATATGTATAAGTGCAGTAGCAACAATCCCATCTCCTGCCTCTAAACCTGTCCTATTGAAGCCTCACAGGATGGCAAAACTGACCAATTTCTCATTAGTACTCTACAGACCTTGTTTGCATTTTCCCACCCAAATGGTGCTATTCACCATACTAGCATCATTAGTATAGTCCCATCCAACCATGAGGTAATATCCAAAGCCAGTGGCTAGGAAAGCCATTTTTAATAATCAACCTAACTTTTAAAAACCTTCACTGCTATTAACTCAATTTCACCTTACAGGGAACCTCTATTTTCTAAGATTGTAAATTGTAGAAAGGAGATTTCCCACCTTTCTCTCAAGGAGTGGCTGGTGGATTTGAACTGCCAGAGATGTATAACCTTAGAATTTGCAGCACAACTCACTATAGACTATGCCACCAAGGCTCCTAATCAACTTACTGCACCACACTAACAAAGAGGCCCAAGACACAAACTAAAGAATACTTGTTGTTAGGTGCCATCGAGTTGAGTGTGAATCATAGCGGCCCTATAAACAAAAGATCT